AGAAATGACGAAAAGCAATAGATACGTAACGACTTGAAGAAATGCAGAAATGCCGGAACTGCAAACGTGCGGAAAGTGCAGAAAAGACGAAAAGTATTACATGCGTATCGATCTGAATGCGGAATCCGCAGAAATGTCGAAACTGCAGAAGTGCGGAATCCGCAGAAACGATGAAAAGCAAACGATACGTACCGATTTTCCGCACTTTCTGCATTTCTGCAGATTCCGCACTTCTTCACTTTCGGCATTTCTGCATTTCTTCAAATCGATACGTGTCTATTGCTTTTCGTTTTTTGCAGATTCCGCACTCCTTCACTTCAGGCATTTCTCCAGATTCCGCACTTCTTCATTTCGACATTTCTGATTTCTTCAGATCGATATGTACAGGGGGGGGCCAAAAAAAAAGTCATTCCGGCCGAGTCACATATGAGCGAAGTTTTCGCAGCCCAGACAGAGGAAGTGGATATGAGTACCAGGGCGGAAGATACCCAAGATCTTCCTCTATAAGCAGGAGCCGGCTGCCGCCATTCACCTTCATGTACACCAAAATATGAAGTCATCTCCAGTCGCGGCCTGAGTGGAGAACGCTTTGAATTCACGTGGCCTCCAAACAGCTGCGGAACTTCTTGAATGGAATCACCTGGATAGCTACCTAGAGACCAGTACTCTTGATCTGCAAGACCTCATCGAGCAGCTACGGCAACGTCGCTACGGTCCAGGACATCATCTTCACCCCCATTCACCAAGGCGCGGGTTGATGGTGTGGACCGGCCGTACCTGGAATGGGAAGGCCGATATTTTCTTTGTAGACCCCGACTGAAGGTGAGCGCTGGCGGTTATATCAAGTAACTCGAGAAGGATATCCTCCCTACATGTGGTCCCCCGTACCTTCTTGGAGACCTTGTGCTGCTACAGGTTTGGGTGCCACCACATGGAATCGAAGGGTTTTGGAAAAACTCCCTCCTCCTTCGAATGGAAGGGCGTTTCGTACCTGATAAAGATGTAATATTGAAGTATGTCCCCTGACCTAAACCCACTCAATTACCTAGTTCGGGCCGACCTCAACAGGGTGGTCTACAGTGGCGGAGAAATCAACGATCTCGCTCAACTCCGGTACCCACTCACTTTCGCGCGGCCGAATCTCTCGATGGCGCTCCTCCAGAAGGCTATGGCGAAGTATCATTATAGTATTTAATGTTCTCTTCAATATGGTAGTAAAAATGTCCGGTAAAAGTTTAATAAAGTGTAACTTATAGCGCCTTGAAAGTCATGGAGGCAAAATGACTTTTTTTTTGGCCCCCCCTGTATGTAATGCTTTTCGTCATTTCTGCACTTTCCGCACGTTTGCAGTTTCGGCATTTCTGCATTTCTTGAAATCGATACGTATCTATTGCTTTTCGTCATTCTGCAGATTCCGCACTTTCCGCACTCCTGCAGTTTCCGCATTTCTGCATTTCTTCACGGTCGCAAGCTATGAACGCGGGTGCGTATCGAGATGCTGTGTTTGCTGTGCACCTGATTTAATTACGGCTCCTTTGGGGTTCGGTGTCGGTTTGATCGCCTAGTGAACAGGGCACGTCGTTGGTTGGGGAATCCTCAACAGGGGGCGTCGCATTTGGCCGCCAGGAGAGGGGGGATCGTAGTGAGTGCGGCAGCCAGTAACGAGCAGAGAAAATTGTCAAGGTGCTGAGTCCTGTACAGCGAAACTTGCTTTGTAGAGAACTCGGATAGGAAGAAAAAATAGTACAAAACTTTTATTCATCAAACTAGTCCGAAGTAACTGCAAATATTAATAAGTCGACATTATCTCGTAAGTCCGTTGGTGACTAAACAGTACGACTCGAACTCTGGTTCGCTGCCAATGATATGGCTTGTCCGCGGTCGCGCTTGGCTCTTAGCGAACCTGTTTTTTTCTCGACAAGCGACAGGACTACCATATCGTTCGTATAGAAGTTTTCCAGCAGTTGATCTCCTTTATCGGAGTCAGCAATTGGTGGAGCACGAATCTGGCAGCGTCGGAAGGGACATGTTCCATCGTACGCAACGGAAAACACTGTAAACACGCGCACAGGCTCGCCATGGACCTCCCTGAACCCTATAGACACATTTGCTCGCGTGGACAGACATTACGCACAAGTTACACCATCCCATCACTTCTGCGCAGACCTCAGTGCGCGGCTCATCCAAAGTCAGCGTGATCGGCGCTGGACGAACCATATTCTGCTCCTGCTCCACCACAGGATACGTTTTTCATGCGTTCCTGGTTACTCGAAAACGCTCACTTGAAACGCTACACGGAAACGGGTTTTTCGCGCAGCTTTGAGTGTTCCTCAAGAAATCCCCATCGCGAGATCTCATTAATCCCGAGAACTTCAGAAACAGTTCAAGAGGTTTTTAGAAAGAGAAAATCTTCAGACACTCGAAACAGTTCTCAGACTTGTGAAATGCTGAGTTACAAAAAAATATATTGATTCAAACCTGTCAGTTGAAATCACTCCCACAACGAATCCCCATGGCAGATTTCTCTGTGATTTTTGCGACCTTCATAAACGTTTCAGTACTTTTAGGAAGTGCAAACCTTCCTCTACACGAATACGGAATTCTCTTCTTCCCCACAGGTCCGCTTTTGAGGAAGTTATGGTCCTTCACAGACACACCACTTTGCTGAAAACTCGCGTTCCACATTGCTGGTCCTGCCCAGAATCCCTCCCCCGGTACCTCGGCCTTTAATCAACTGATTGCGGCTAGTTTGCTCTCGTTCGTATTTACTCTTTCGTATTTATCTTCTTCTCGGTTTACTCGAATATCGAATATTTATCTGCTTCTAATTTACTCGAATACACGGCAGAGCGAGCCAGAGCAATTTTGCTTGGACCGCTCAGAGTGCTCTTAGGAGGAATTGGCTTGATTTCCTGTTTTTTTTCTTTTGATTGCAATTGATTTAGGTACCAGAGTTTGGTTTGACTCGAGGGAAGGTGGGTGAAACCTAATGGCCTTTCTTTTCTATTCTCTTTTCTGAATTAGGACATAAATGAGCAAAAAGCGAGGGGGCCTCATTCAGGATTGTTACGTTTTCCATTTTTCGCGCTTTCTTATACATAAACTTATGAAGTTCCTTCCTCCTCGGGGGTGGGGGAAACTTCATAAGTTTAGGTATGGGGGGGGGTCGTACCGAACCCCCGAAAAAGGGGTGGGTCGTACGGGCTTCACCAAAATCCCTATAAATGCTGTGCCCTGCCACTGAAGTTATCACATTGTCTGAATCGCCGGTTTTCCCTGCCGAAATCTTTCAGCAGATGCGTTTCTTTGTCCCATTGCGCAATGTGCCAACCATGTGCGATGCCGTTAACGTCGTCAAGGCGTATCCTGACCCCTCTTCGACTCTTACTATAATAGGAATTCAACACTAATGATGCATAAAGTGGATGGTCGCACGTGTACTCTGTAAAAGTGAGGAATGCAGCCAGAGTAAATAATATAGAGCATTCCAGGAATGCTGTATGAGAGGAGGAGCGGTTTCAACCCTTGCAAAATTTTCCAACAACAACAAAAACAAGATAAATAATATTTATGAGTACTCATTAGAATTTGCAGCTCGAAACTTCAAAATATTAAGACAGACCGACGACAAATAAAAAAAAGGAATCTACAAATCATTACAGGAAAAGGAACTGAAATGAAGAGAGTCTGTCCAATCTCCTGCATTCACAACGGTTCGTTTTGCATATACTTCACTGCCTTCTCCTTATACTGATAATTTGTCAATAAACAAAACCACGCAAAGACAAACCCCGCGACTGCACATTCTGGGTAGCAGTGTCCACTTGCACACCTACGCCAAGTTTCTCCAGTAAAGAAAAAAAACAAAAGGAATAGGCGGGAAATAAGCGAGGACCCCTTGGTAGCCTCACTGTTCCAAGAGTCTGCCGCCTCTTACTCATTCATCGTTTTTTCGCTTCATCTAGTGTTAATACCTCTTAACAATGAAAAAGAAGACGAATAATGCAGCGTAGAAACGATACCCGCGACAGAAGAAAAGTCTTCGAGGGCATTTTGTGCAAAATTGAGCCAGTTATAGTGTACACATAGTTCGTATTTATGCCTGCCTCCCACCAAACAACAATAGAGCTCCCTGCGCCAAGTGTAAAGAGGACGTTTCTGAATAGGAGGTCGAGCCGAGCGTCGGGGTCTTAGCGCTTGTATTCACGACGGTTGCAGCATACTCGTCACCCACTCAACAGGCAAGATCTGTGAGCCTGCGAAAGGACTACTTGGACAAGGAAGGGCGCCTACGAATTGATTGAGGCGGGGTCTGTCTTTAAGCAGTTCATGTACAAAAACAATGAATTCACCACAAATCTTCTATGACTTCACAACATGTATCTATAAACATACTAGAAGAACCTAAATGTTGATCTGCGATGCGAAAGTGATCGGTGTTATTAAATAAGTAGGAGCGCAATATAAACCTGTGGTGTGGAAACAACTGCAAAAATACTTCGACAGCCTTGTCCATAACACAGAATTCAGTACAACAACATTACCAACAGCAGCAATCTCAGGCATAGACACGCACGCGTGGAAGAATGCGTGTTTAATATGCATATAGCCTAGATGAGTTCATATCCTTGGTCCTGCCAAACGAACTACTTCGGAGAAAAAAATCACTAATATGCCTCTCAAGTCATTTTGGTATCCAGTGCCTCTATCATGGGAATATACTCGACTTTACCCCACGTTATGCCGATCTAAGAAAACTAACACGCTGGAATTCTGTGTGCACATTGAACATTGATTGTACAAAAATAAAACATTATTCGAATTACCTTAAACAGATCAGGTCGTGCATGAGGGTATTCTATCGGGAAGAGTGCCGACTAGGAGCCAAGTGTACCTCAGTTTGATGAAAAAAATCATTCTTCAAATCTATAGGTTCTCCGAATATAAAACAAGTATGTCAGTTTGAAACGAAGTTTTAAATCAAGAGCATGGCATTGGGCTCAGAATCCAAAAGGATCTTGTCCTGATTGGGGATGAGGTTGTGCTACTTGTCCATATCCCATAGCAGCTCCCCCATAGACAGAGTAACCAGATGGTGCACCTTGGGTATGCTGCGGTGCTGGGAAAACTAAAATCATGTGTTCTTAGTTCACTATATTGAGATTAGAAGATTTAATGACAAATCCAGTGAGGCTGCATTCGAAAACCTACCGTGTGGCTGAACCTGCCATTGTCCCATGGGTGCACCGGGGTATGCTTGAGGAGCATATTGCCCGAACGGAGTAGTGTACTGAGGGGGTGCCCCATACGAAGCCATGGGCGGGGCCCCCACAGAGGGCGCGGTGACTGAAGATGGAATCTGCATCTGCGCCGGACCTTGCTGTTGAGGACCACCCCACTGAACAGGTCGCCTGAAATGCACACCGCATGATTAAAAACATAAAAGACTACTTAGGGCAGTTAAGGTAAGTAGTAAGAAAAGACCTTGAAAGAACGCTTACCCTTGGTTACTTGCGCTTATTGAGAGGTTGTCTGCGAGATTTGATAGTGCGGAATCAATATCACTTCCAATTTTACCTTGTCCTTGTTGCGTTGTAAATGGATCAAAAGTGCCTGGAAACATAGCGATCTCCAACCAAAAAACATAAACAGCAAGAGAGAAAGTGAACTGATGTTCAAAATGCCTGCTAAGCGATACAGAGTACAAGAAATACAGCACATCAACAAAGTTACACTAAACACTACCTACAACGAGAAAGATCTCTCAGGTCGTGAAGCGCTTTTTGAACACAGTCCAGTGCTTGTTCTATGGGGTCATCCAGGCGACAGAAAGAGCTTAATCTTTAGGCAGCGTTCAGACTTGTAGCGCTACAGCGTAAAGCTACAGCTGTAGCGCTACAGTTATACCGAACTCCAGCTTTTATGTTTTTTCTTTCTGTATTCAACCCTCTTCTCGTTGTTTCTCATACTTATCTGATAGTGAGCTCCTGTTTTCTACTTTATCATATTTTAATGTAGTTGAAGTGTGAATAAAGTAAAACAATTTTGTCATCGGAGTCAACTGAGGCATCACTGCAAGATATCAAGCAAAGCCATCAAACATCAATAGCAACTCTGAAACCAAATAATAAAAATCAAAAACCATAAATAAAACTAATTATCACAGTCTTCTGTATCAAAAATTACATTAAAATGTGGTAAATTAGAAAACAGGAGCTCAGTATCAGATAAATTTGAAGAACAAAGAGAAGAGGGTTGAATACAGAAAGAAAAAACATAAAAGAGCTGGAGTTCGGTACAGCTGTAGCGCGACGGTAGAGCGCGACGGTATAGCGCGACGCTGTAGCGCGACGCTGTAGCGTGCCGATACTGCCTAAGGCAATCTGGCAATGCCAAAGAGAGGGTGAACAGAAAGACCGTGGAGTGGGTCCCGTTTTGTAAAAAGCCTTCTGTCACCGTTTTCGCCTTGGACTCGCACACTAGCTGATACCTTTCCTTGCCATTCGTAGGAGCGCGCAGAAAATAACAACTACTCAATCCACTCGCATAACCCTACAATCTGCAACAAACTGTATCGGCAAAGCGCTCCATGACCTGAAGACCTTCCTTGTAGGTGACACGATCACATCCAACCTTGCTGTTGAGGATGAGCACCTGAAATGGAAATGCTAAGTCACTTGATTTGATAAGTCGAACAACTGAACAATATTAAAAAAAGAGGCTGTTTGCCGTCTTCCCACTTTCACGTGCAGATATTTGCTCATTATTCCTTGGCATGCTACTGGCAGACTGCATTGCGCCCACTGAGAAGGGAGACGGGCCAGAATAACTGCCATCGGCGTGAGCTGAAAAAGAAGTACTATTGAACTGCACCTGGTGAACTGATGGCATGCAATGAGTGAATAACCGACAGAAAGGTGTTTGCTCATAGATTCCTTTGGGTTGAGAAGATACAGTTTCCGCTATACTGGAGGGAGGCACTTGACGATCAGCATTCTCCACATTTTGTGAGAAGTGCTGCTGCGGCGATTGGAATGGAACAGGTGAGTTGTTCGCTAAAAGCAAAATTATCGTGTTCGTGAGTCTAGAAATCAAAATCTCTCACAGAACTAACATGAAGAATCCGCCGATGCGAATCGCTGCGCATCCACATGCTGCAAGTGCTGAGGTGTTCCTCCTGCAATGTAAAAAATGGAAACAAATGTATGAAAAGGGTCTGGACACAGCTGTATTTGACCTACAATGGTCGAATACAGCTGTGCCCAGACCACTCTTTCACATATACCATTTTCACTTTAAATTCACCATTTTTCAAACCAAATTCACCATTTTTCAAACCAAATTCACCACTTTTTGAAGCGAATTCACCAATTTTCAATGCAAATTCACCATTTTTCAAAGCAAACACTTTTCAAAGGAAATTCACCCTTTTCAAACCAAATTCACCATTCTTCTTAGAGCAGGCAGTACACCAACCAGATCACGCCACGCTGCAAACCCTGCCCCGACGGTCACGCCTACTTGTCATGTGTTGAAAATCTATGTCAGCGCGGACATAGATTTTCAACACATGACTGACTCCGCCCATTCTTTAAAAAGTTTGTTGCGAACTTCAAATCTTCATAACTTTTTCAGTTTTCATTTCCACATCCACTCTTCGCACAACGAAGGTACTTGTAGAAGCGCATTCATGCACCGGCAATTTAGGCCCGCCCCCTTGGCCACACCCATCTGCTTTTTGCGGAATTTTGACATTTTTTTCAAAATTTTTGCATTTTTGGACTGCCCCACGAAGAACGCCGGTGACAGAGGCTTCGCCCACTTTGAAGAAACCCCGCCCACTTTTCAAAAATGGCACAAATTGGCAGTATAGAGCTTTGGCTTGCAGGCTAGGAGCTCGTCCGTCACTCGGAACAAATTGATCAGGCAAAGTTTGTTCCGAGTGACGGACGAGATCCTAGCATGCAAGCCAAAGTTCTATACTGCCGATTTGCACCATTTTTTTTTTGAAAAGTGGGCGGGGCTTCTCACAGTGGGCGGGGCTTCGTGGAGCAGCAAAAAGGCAAAAATTTTGAAAGAATGTCAAAATTCCGCAAAAAGCAAATGGGCGTGACCAAGGGGGGGGGGCAGCTTGACTTGCCGGTGCATGATTGCGCGTCTACGAGTACCTTCGTTGTGCGAAGAGTGGATGTGGAATCAAAAATTGAAAAATTAAAAGTTGAAAAAGTTATGAAGATTTGAAGTTCGCAAACTTTTTAAAGAATGGGCGGAGTCAATCATGCGTTGAGAATCTATGTCCGCGATGAGAAGTAGGCGTCCGTCGGGGGGGGGGGGGCTCGCAGTGGTGTCTGGCGTGGTCTGGTTGACGAACTGCCCGTTCTAAAAAGAGTGGTGAATTGGCTTTGAAAAGTGGTGAATTTGGTTTGAAGTGTGGAATTTGAAGTGAAGATGGTACATTTGTAGCACTATATCGACGAGAGCTCCTCAACTCCCAACAGGACTCTGTAGTGCCGTTTGGACGCCGTGAAGCAATACCTTTTTGAATTAGGGGACACTAATGCGATTTTTGAGACGATACTTTCTCCCTCAGCCCCTTTATGGTAAATAAAGGACTGCTTATGTGCCACTACTGTCTATATTGTAGGTAAGGCTACCGCACAAAAACAATTTTTCACTGGCGAAAACGAAGTAGTTAAAAAATCATGATCAATTCATCATGAACCAAAAAGTTAGAAGAGAAGTTTTTCGTCGAAGCTTACCTTGTGCGTTGAAGGGAACTGCACCAAATGGATTCGTGGCTTGACTGGTAACCACTCCAGGATGAGAGTCTGCCAGTTCGGTGTTAGTCACAGAAGTATGTTCAGGTGTGAACTGAGGCTGCCACATTGCTCCCGGTGGTGGTGGTGGCGGCGGCGGTGGTGCTGTTTGTCCCATATTGAGGAACGGATTAGCATCACTGACATCTCAAACCAGAGTGCATCACTTCGATAAATTTCATACAAAAAAATACTAAATCTTGAAATATTGGCACCTTATAATAAAATACAACACTAGAACACAACATAAACGCAAAGTTATAAATAAATATAAGTCCATAATTCAATTGAGCTTTTAACATGTAATGGATAAATCAGTGCTAAAGAACAATATATTGAACAAAGAAATCAGGAGAACAACACATGAACGACAGGATGCACCACTTAGGCAGGCACTTCGAATGAGGGCTTTTCTTCACAACGAGAGCTAGAAACACTCGAAAAACTTTAACTTCGAATGTTCATCTTTGTACAGTACCTCCACCGGTATCGTTGGTATTCCTGTTGGCGAACGCCCGCACGAAATCTGCTTGGAAACCGTTCAAGTGTCCGTTGGATTCAGAAAGTATAGCAGACGAAATCGGTTGAGCCACAACTATAATATCACGACCACTAGTAGTTCTGCACCATACGCAACATGCAATGTATGACAAAGGAGGCCGATGAGATTCGTGATACTTGAGCCACACAACACACTAAAATTAGAGCACGAAACCACTTTCCATGGAAATATAACGAAAAAGCTCATAGCTGTTCATTTAGAAGCACTCAGAGGATTTCCTACACATGTACTTCTTTTGGAGATAACCAACATGAAAAAGAAAACATTTTTAAATACTTAGCTGGTAGCAACATTGAGCGAAGTAGTGAGCGGTTTCTCTTGGGAGACTGCAGGACACTGTAAAGGTTTACCAGGCATGAAACCCACTTAATATATAGGTAGGAAAGAAAGTTCTGTCAGTGATTTCTGAATAGCTCACAGCTTTTGATTCTTGATGCTCGAACATGACGACATGCTATGCTTGTAGAACATTTTAGGAGCACCGCAAAAGGCACCTAGAGGCAAATGGCCTTCTCTGGGTTTAATTGCAATATCAGTTTCATAGGAACAGCTACATGTCATCATGTTCTATGGGTGGCGCCGCGGCGGTAGAGCGACGACCGCTGCTAGCAACGTCAACAGTGCACTGCGGAATTATGCCACCACCATCAGGACTGTCCACCTCTGGGTTCGCTCGCTTCACGAAAGGAGACACGATTTTTGAAGGTAAACCTCGGTTTGGACGGCTTCACGAAGTGGAAGAGTGTATCGTTCTCGGAGCTGTCAAGAGGCATAAGGAGCCTACCATACGCAGTCCTGTGGCAAGACTCGGGTGTACCTAACTGATAGTAGTCGACCGCCTGTAAGCCCTTGGCTGTCGAAAAGTACTGACTCGATGGATCACTCATTCCATGACGGATGGCATGCTGTGCACCTGAGTACCCCTTGGTCAGTCTCCCCTTCCCCGCCCTCGTCGAAAGGGGTTTTTGAGAGTTCGCTCAGTGAAGATGAGAGTAGTGTCCTCTGTAATTCCAATTCACACGGTATCGTGCGTCTCTTTCAAAGGGAAGACATCCAGCAGTCCAAACCGGGCATTTCGTCCGAGAAGGTTGTCCTGTGCTGCTTCTGACACGCGGGGGGAATGCTGCACAATGAGCTGCCCTGTAAGTACACACGGTTACCGCTACCATTTGTGCCGCCTAGCTCCAGAAACCCGTGGAAACTGTTGGAGAAAAATGACCGAAACTATTTCGGGTACCTTGTTTCCGAGTACGGAGACCTCACACTGGGATTGGAGACATGCCAAATAATCGACAAGCAAGGCTGTGAGACCAAACCCCACTCATCATATTCTCCTGACATAGGCCCATATGGCTGCTATCTGCTCCAGCTCCTCAAGGCTCTCTTACTAAGAAAACTGTCAGCAACTTATATGACATAAGTCGAGAGGCCGCCGAATTACTCGACTCGCAGCCTTCCTAGTTCTGGGAGAAGGGGAATGCTTACCTGCTCATTAGGTGGAGCACTGTAGTGGCTAATAATGATGAGTATATTGTTGGTTCCATTGTATTTTGAGTTAGAAAAAGAAAAAAGTCACAGCAGTGATAAGATTTTCTTTCCAACTTAATAGAATCTCCTACAACATGGATGAAGAGAGAAGTAAGGAAGTTTCTAAAGGGAGAAGAATGGTCAGTTTCAACATTGAACACTAGCAGAGACAAAGGACGTTCAAAAAAGTTTCGGCCAAAGTCAGGTTCTGAAGCGGTCAGTAGTGGAGATGTGATCATATCCACGAGCTCGCGCCCTTTCTTGGTCTTCTAATGTAAGGATTTGCAGTGCGGTTGATGGATGAGATTATTTTTCTTTTCATCAGCGGGCATCTCAACCGCAGAATGGTCAATCCAGTGTCTCGGAGGCAGAGGTCAATTGAAAGCAGCTTTATTTCTATGCAAATCGATTCTAATAGAGCCGTTCAGCGACTTGGGGAATTAAGACCGCGCTTATTGCTGTTCGAGGGAGTAGGAGAATCGGAGAACCCAAAAGCCTAGGAATCGATGTTTGGGAGAATGCACGCCTAAGGCTGGGTTCATATTTTGCGGAAGTGACCATCAGCGTCACCAGCGACCAGCAGCGTCTAGGATGGATAGTTTAATGAGGGGGGGGGGGGAGGGGGGGGGAATAGGAGGGTAGAGGACAGCCACCGTCCTACTTATCTATACTTCAACCAGCTGTCTGCTACCCTCCTACCACCCCATGCTCCCCACTCGTGGACTGTGCTGGTCGGTGGACGCTCCTTGTCGCTAAACCGATACCTATGCTTACAGTGGAGCGCTCACCGGACGGTGGGGCGTTCCCTACGACCACGCCGGCGAGCGTCCCGCTGATTGCGTGATGATGGAAAGCCGAGAAATTCCAGGAAATCATCATCATTGCCCCTGCGTCTCTGACACTGACTCTGCGCTCTAACACACCCCGCCGCGCCCTCTTCTCACTCTTCCATCTGAACTCCCGCCGATCGATGGTTGCTGACGCTACCAATCAGCTGATTTCTGCCATAATTTTTGTTGTTTTTCTGCAATATTCAGCTTGTAAAAGCTGAAATTGTTCTGGTTTCGGTTTCAATTTTGGAGGTGAGTATGTTTACTGGAATAAGATTACATTCTGTATGAATTCAGCATGAAACTCTCTTAAAGAACTGTTTCTTCTTTCTTTTCGCAATTTTTTTTACTTTTCGTTGAATTGTCTTCGTTTAGCTTCGATGCACTTACTAAATTCATGCAAAATGAAATCTAGCTTCCTCGAAACATACTCACCCTTGCTTATTGAAGCTGAACGTTTTAGCTTTTCGAACTGAAAACGGTAGCAATCAGGTTGATTGGCGTAAGCCATTATCGATCGCGGCGGCGTCCGCTTGCCAACGTGGACGAAGGACCGCCCCACCGTCCGAAGAGAACTCGACAGTACCTAGCCCTCGAGACGCTGGCGAACGCCGCTGGTCACTGACGAACACTGCTGGTCGCTGCCGCAAAGTACGCACGCAGCCTGAGGAGTTGATTGGTATCAGTTAGCGATCGATACAGTCTATAAGGTTATTAACAAATGTAGATAGCAAAACTGCACAACGTGCATTCCACAAGCAACTTGTGAGCAGGTAAAGTTTGTAACGGTGCAGTAGGGTGGAGGTGGTGAGCTGTAAAGCATAAGCGAGGAATTGCGTACGTTAAATCGACTCATGCTGTGCTTGTGAAGCGAGAACCTTACCACTGAACCAAAACGACTTGATTTGCGGTACGCGATTCCTCGCTTATGCTTCGCAGCTCACCACCAAGCCTCCACCCTACTGCACCATTACAAACTTTACCTGCTCATAAGTTGCTTGTGGAATGCACGTTGCAGTTTTGCTATCTATATTTATTAATAGCCTTATAGACTCTATCGATCCACCCCGGTCTCCACTGAAAGTTTCATGGTAAGTTGGCGACCTTCCCTGTTTAGATATGCAGCATCACTTGTTTTTAAGTATTTTATGCTGTCTAAGACGAAGAATGAGAAAGTTTGCTCGGAAGTTCTTGTAGCCTTGAGAGATTTGGAAAAGCGATCCATCCAATTCACTGAACATCTCTTAGGCGGTGAAAACAAAAGGCTCGTAATCGTAATTCTGCATGCTCGCGTACTACTAATAATTTCCATTCCCATTCCCAAACACTTTTTAGCCACCATGTATTATCAGTTTTTAATCACAGTTGCACTGAATAAAAGAACTTTGAAAATCAACGTGAATCAGGAACTCAACTTGTTTTGGCGCCAAGTTTGAAAATTCAGAAGGAATGAACCAAATTCACAACTTCCTCAAAGGAGAAAATATCAAAAGTGTTACCTCCTCCAACTGAAGGGTAAACTGAAGTTTGTGCATTGGCTGGGGCAGTGAACTGCGCAAACGGATTTGTTGGGTCCATCTGCGATTGTTGGGGCTAAAAAATTGCATATCGCGTATAAAAATGGCAAGTTAAATACTCTTTCTGACTGAGATTTAATTCCTATTGGCAACAAAAAATTCCTTGGAGTGTCGGTTCTGTTTATACTTGCGATTTTTCATTCAACGCTGCTTGATGAAACAACGAATCGCAGTTTACGTAAACAAACGTAACCTTCACCTGAGCAGGGGCATTGAATAAATCTAGTAGATCGTCACTAGTTTTCTTCGGTGCTTGAGCAGACATTGCCTCTGCAGCAAATGGATTGAAACTTGAAGATACGCCCGCTGAAGGCCCTTAAAACACCTGTTTAGCTTCATGCTTCAGATTAACTACTCGTCTCTCAATACAAGAACTAGGGCGTCTCATGAGCTTCTTAACTTTTAGGTCGAAAAGCTTATTTCTTGGAGAGGTTTACTTTTTATCTCCTAAGAACAACTTCTTAACAGTCTTCGGGATTATCATTCGGGTCAGTCCACCAGTTCACCAACGAATCAGCGCGGCTCTTTCGGAAATCGCTAGGCTGCAACTACACTCTCGATCGTTGTGAATGCTGGGACATGTCAGGGTCTGAATTTTGTGCAGGCCGTTTTCTGCCAAATGTAGTCGTTGTCAGCTTCCACAATTTGTGGGAAACGGAAATAGCACCGATCCAAACCCACTCCCTCTGAAAACCCGAGCATACACAATGAACTAGACTGTGAATCCCTCCTAATCCGTTTGCTCGACGTAGGCGCGATTTCGCAGCAGGGCACACCACTGCAGTGGAGTTTTGGACGGGTCGTGACCACGGCACCACCCCTGAAAGGGGCTCACTAGAACCCTCCTCATTCGTTAAATCATTCAACAGGAGCAACGAAAGGCTACAAAGGCTCACAGCGGTAAAAATACAGGAACGGTGTGGCGTTATCAGCGGAAAGATGAAGTCTTCGGTCAATTGAGTGCAACATTTTGAACGCCTAGACGAGTACATAGAGACGCTGTCCTATTACAACAGTGGATGCTGAGTAAATGCTGAATTGCCGGCGAAGAAAAATGGACAAAACACTGAAGAAACAATAAGAATTTTCGAGTGAACTACATGGTACTGTTCGATAGGGGGTCAGCTGCAAATGCGTTTGCCCGCACCACGTTGGAGCATAGATCCGCAAAAGAAGTGCGAAAGTACATCATCTTTGAACAACCAGAACTTTCTTACTAGGGAAGGTCGCCAGGTCGAAGTGGCCGTTTGTAATGAGACGCGGCTCACTAGACGTGGTTTTGAACGCTGATCTCTAATCTACCTTTGAAATTTGCAAAGCAATTCTCTGAAAGGAATTATGATGGCTTGTTAGAATTAAAACGAAGGAAAAGGGAGTCGAGCGCGGTTGCCAGCCAGCAAAACCACCCTTGGAGACAATTTCTAGCCAGAAGTGAAGTTTGACCTAACCATGAAAAGTGCAGGAGCAGTTGATCGTGATGGTCACCAACAGTTCCAGGGCCAGTCTGTTGTCGATTACTTGTCTCAGGACGGAATTTGCTTTTAGATACCAGGAAAACTGGAGCACTAACAACATGAATGCGTAAGAAGTGGCAAGACGAGGTTTGTGCAGGAGAATGTATCTGCAGCAGGTGTGAACATCAACTGAACTAACCCATGGGTGCTCACTTTTCGAAGTCAGGTCAAAATGGCAGATTTGGAAACCTCTACCTAGGCGTAGTTCGCCCCCACAAATACGAATATGGCACTCGCTCAGCGCGAAAACGTCCGCACTGCGCGCCAAGGGAACCTGTACATCCTAAAATTCTCCTAGATCATGATGTACTAAGTAAGCAAGTAAGTAAGCGAACGCAAACTGTTTTTCAGGCAAGTCAAGGAAAGCGCTATGTAGAAGCGACGCCCCAACCACTTTTTGCCACGTTTGCACAAAAAGCAAAAAAGTTAAGCTCATCAGGGATCCGATCCCATGACCTGTGCGTGGTAAACGCGGAGGGAAAAACTGCACAACTCCGTTCAAAGAATCGCTTTGCAAATTTCAAAGGCAGATTCGAGATCAGCGTTCAAAACCACGTCTAGTGAGCCACATCTCATTACAAATGGCCACTTCGACCTGACGACCTTCCCTAGTTAGAAGTGAAAAAAGAGCTCAATTGTGGAGGGCCGGATCGGCTCTTTCACTAAATAATGAAATAATTATGAACGGTTCCTAATTCAAGAAATATGGATCGTTTGAGGTTGAAGCGTACATAAGGTTTTGTGGTTCGCGCGCGAACTTTCTCGAAACTTACATACAACTGCTTTGAGAGAAGGCTGTCGCCGGCACCCCCCCCCCCCCGTCCAGCGCGGTCAAACCCTTTCCTGACTGGGGCCTGGGCAGGTTCAGATAATGGCTCATTTCCTCTCAAAGCAACACCGTATACATAGATAGAGTGACTCATAGATTTGGTCAGAATGCGATCCGAGGCTCCTTTCCAGTAGGCGCCGAAAATCGCTAATTCGAAAAAAGTTGAAAATTAGGAAACCTATGGGACACCCTGAGAAAGCGTAGGGACGGTAATAGCTTTCATTTAGGCAATTAACAATGCTCCGCAAAACTCACCACCAACACCCTGTTGACGTTTCTGCTCCTCAAATTGTCGCAACCTTTCTTTTTCCAGTTCTATATACCTCGTTCTCTCGGCATCGCCCACATGTGCCTGCGTTTGGAAGCCACCAGCCATTGAAAAGTTGGCAACTTGGGACTGAGCGGATGGGTACTATAAGACAAAATAAAAACAGAGACAACGGCGAAGTTGTTGGTGGAGAATGAAAAGTGCAAGAATTGAATTTACTCAACAGAAAGGAAGCTATGCCATCGACCTACTTGCCCCGAAAGACCTGAAGATGGAGCTCGACCGCCTTCCAGATGGGTGAGGTGGGCCTCTAGTGCCTCTAGTAAACTTGCTGGAGCTCTGGTCAAGTCTGGAATCTCGCCTCTGTCAATACCAACAGATTCAGCAACGCGCAAGAACTCCGAAACTTTATCCAAGCGGGTCTGAAAGCTTTTTTTTCATGTAATTATGAAGTTTTACCCTTTCATTTCTTCCTAAATGTTTGACATGTCCTGTGGCACCAACCAAGAATCCTTTGTACGTGTCTAAAGCATCACGACACTGCTTCTTGTTCATATCAAAATATTTCTCCAACAAATTAATGATTCCGTCATTGTAGCACGCAAAAAGACGAATGAGATCACGGAATAGAAGAATGAAGGAACAGTTGATGACACCATTGTTTAATTCACTGGCTGACACCTTAAACAGTTTTCTCCTTCAACAGCCCATGAGATTCGTCAGATTTCTTCTCGCAATACTTGTTCAAAAATTAGTGTGATATAAAAACCCACTTGGAATTCCAGAAGTGCATCAATTTGGTTTTGTAGAATTGGCAACGTCTTTAAAAGCTGAAACGAAAATAAATCCAGTGTCGTACCTGGCAGAGCCACTTCGAATCAAGCGAACTCCGAAAATAGATGTCATAAACACTCTTGCTCATCAAATTAGAAATACTGTATGGAAATGAGAATTGTTCCCTGAGTTAAAACAGAAAAAAAACACAATTATAGCGACATTGATTATGATAAAAGTCTAAAAGTCGATTTGTAGACAGTAGTATGTACTAAACCAACAAACTGTTTTTCAGAGCATAAATGATTTCATCCCAAAAAAATCTGAAGATAATCAAAATAAAAATCTATCACCTATAAACAAAACAAAAAGAATGTAAAGTCATTTTTTCCAATACTACAGTGGAGCCGGTCAAGAAAATGGTAAGATAACATTCGGAACTGTAGTAAATCTTACCTGAGCAGATATACCATCGACCTGGCACATCAAACATTAACATAAATATTGGTAAGAAAAGATGCACAACAGGATAAGAAGAAAAAGTAACAGGTAGTAATAACATTGTTTTGCAAATAACACTTGTTAAAAACGTACAGCCACCCAACTACTCAGAACTAGAACTTGCTAAATCAAAGTATAAGATGAAATTCATTTTATCTACACGTTTTCGATAGTTCTTAAGGATTCCTAAAAAAATTTAAATTTTAAACTCATGACACTTAAAACTGTTGTTCCTACCCTTCCTTACAGATGAGCACGGAGGGAGAATACCATGTTGTCTGGTTTCCGTCTAAGGGCACGTGCGAAACGGAAACTAGGCTAATTCCTTGAAATCAATAAATACAAAATTAATAACACTTATAAATACCAATCTTGAATGATAGTAAGTAAAAACAATTATATTTCATTTAAATCACATTCTATATTCGCATGTTATGAAAGTTTACACGAAATACCTTTTAGAATACGAATACTCAAGTGATAGGAATTTATTGTTTACGTGTGCGCTAGCAACAACAACTACCGTATATGTTAAAAACATTTCGCTTTGCAGCATTTTCTATATGCATTACAAGACAGAAAAGAACCAAAAGGAAACTAGTTTCTACAAAGTGAAGCGAACGCTGCACATGTACACCACTACTGGAAAACATCCGGAATGGCAGCATTCGCTGTCTATCTGAAATTTTTGACTGGATAAGTTTTTCATAAATTCCCCAGCTTGTCACCTAATTAACATGGGTCGTTTTCAATCACATTCGATATAGGTTTGTCTACTAAAGTCCCACATCACCGCCCAATATAATGACTTTATCAGTTTTGTAATACGGCGAGATCTACGAGCAATGAGAGAGCTGGATCTCGACATAGATGGAGTACCGTACCACGAGTACAATCAACAAAGGGCATCATTCTTGCTGTCATCAAGAGGCCTCGTGGAATATCTAAGTCGGTATGTCACCATTTTTGCAAAAGGGCTCATTACAGCAGACAATTACAAATGTTTGGTGTACTATAATAAAGACGGTAATGAAAGGAAATGCCACGCCCGAGGAAAAATTGCTCTCTCGAGGTTTTCCCGCAATCTCCTAACTTCCCATATGGGCAGATATCTGCTCTCTCGAGGAATTCGATGATCAGCGAGGCAACAAATGAATAGGTGATTGCAAAATGATTACCTTGTCAGTGTGCATAGTGCGCAGGAGACCATCCTCTCTTCCTCGCTTGACTTTGCAGAAATCAAATGCGCAGACTCGATATGTCGCTATTTTTTCCCCAATATACTTCCCATATCGTCGCACATGCTGAGACATATCATATCCTGGAACTAGGTTTGGAATAAACATTTTTAGCCTCAATCAGTTTCATGTATCAGAAAATTCAAGTCAGCGGTGTGCTTTCTTCAGCGCAATTTTAACAATTACTAATCCGTTATGGACCGCCGTTATAGCAGTCCTTACCATTACTGTTTCGTCTTCTTATTTCACTGATCAAGATAGTAGCACACAACAACTTTGGTAATTGAGAAATACGTTTTCTGATCCAAGCACGCGTTTCAGCACGGCGTTCCCGAAGAGCGTACGCATCCTGCACTTCAGCCCGACGAGTCAAGTGCGAAGTCCAGCAGGCATTTCGATGGTTCCCCATCACAGTTAGGGTGCACGAAATCTCAGCGCTTTCCCCGCTGCTCTTCGTTGTCGTCATGAACCCCACTTTCACGGGACCTCCAAAAGCCGGCTCCCTGGACGCTTCTCTACGCTGACGATGTGATGCTCGCTTGCGAGGATAAGAATGTTCTCGAGGAACAAGTGCAAGCTTGGACTGCATGGTTAGCAAACTTCGGGCTCAGATTGAACGTCAAGAAAACCGAGTACCTGACGACCGACCCGGAGGAGCCTGGTTCCCTTATGGTCGGCGGCAGTCTTCAGAAATGAACAAGCGTGTGGGTTCAGCCTGGTCTAACTCTGCGACAAGACGATACCAGATCGCCTCAAATCGAAGATCTATAGGACTGCCGTTCGACCAGTCGCGATACACGGTGCTGAGTGTTGGCCTACGACCAGAGATGTTGAAGCGCGCTTCGGAGTCATGGAGATGAAAATGTTGCGGTGGATCGCCGGTGTCACGCGTATGGATCGCATACGCAACGACGACATAAGGAAGAAGTTTGGAGTAGTTCCCGTGGCCGAGAAAATGCGCGAAGCTCGCCTCCGATGGTATTGTCATGTTCTTTGCCGAGTTGCGGCAACGTCCATAGGATTGGTCTTGAGCTCGAGGTTCATAGAAAGCGCCCTAAAGGACGCCCCAAGCAGCGCTGGTCATGCTGACTTAAAGATAGTTGGCGCCCATCCCGTTCAAGAATTCAGTCGAAAGAAATGGCGTGACAAAATAAGACGAGCGGACCCCGCTACAAAGCGGGACAAACGCTGAGGAAGGAAAGGAAGATGTTTTCTGACACAACAAATTATTTTATTTTCTCATCAATACAAGGAAAGCCTGAGAATGCAAGCAGGGCGATTCGCCTACTAATAGTATGTAAAATCCATTCTGGATGAAACACTCACACCTCATCTTCTATGTGTCACTTAACTCTTTAATCGAGTCCCTCATGTAAAGGACAAAGAAAAAAAAAGCAAAAAGCGTGGAACTGAGAGATATTTGTCAAACTTCAAAACTGTCTTTAGTACAAAACTAGTATTATCATTTTGTGAGAGAAATATTTTGGAAAGATTTCAGCAATGAATGAGGAACTGAGTACCGGTTTCGGTTCCGAAAGAAGTTTAGATCCCCTCTCTCGGAAAAAGGCCACGGTGGGCGAGAAATAGACCTACTGAGAAGGAATGTAGATCCATTATTAGAGAAACTGACTCAAATTCCTATGGACAGACCACAATCAGCAATCGCTCTAAGCAAATACGAGAAGCTTTCGAAACAATTTATTTGACAACGATGACGCAGTTTCTTTTTTCGTTTGCTTTGAACCTCACAATGCAAAAAAAAATACCTGAAGTACTATTCTTATCCAGGAAGTTCCCCAGATTGAAAGTGGTGTTGCAGGACGCCAAATACTGCGAGAACCTCTGAAAAGAAATTATGGGATGCAAGAAATTAAGATTAAAGGACTTTTCAGATTTCTTCTCACCTCATTACCATAACACATAATGTTATGAATGGTGATAAGAGCCTTATATACAACAGTCCAATTAGGATGTTGGGTTCTTTCGATTAATAAATTTGCCATCGATGGAATAGACACATTTGGCTCGTTTGTGCAATGCAGCAAATCTAAATTAAGCATTCTCGAAAGAAGTGCAATAGTGGATATAAATGTAGCTTTACATATGGGTTATTATTGACTCATAAAAACAAAACCTCAAGGAGAAAGTAATCAAATTAATGAAAATAAGTACATGATTTTCCAGATAATGAGCGGAATACGGTGCACTAGGGAAGTTACGATGATATCTGTGATAATGCAAACAAAAATCTCGCAAAAACGTTGGTAATAGTAATCTCCAGCTTCTCTCTTCTTGCAACCTCGGCATGTTGGTAAGCGTTTCAGTTTTCTTGTGCCTTAACAGGTTGTTGGTTGTTGGATGGAACATTTATTGAAAGGCTAACGTTTCGACTCAATCGTCGTCTTCAGAGACTAATGTTCCACCGTTTAAAAATTTTTTCCCTACTAATAGCGTTCTAGTGTGGCAGCGGACCTATCCGCTTAGGCAGCGTTCAGACTTGTAGCACTACGATCGTCGCGCTACAGCTGTATCCAGCTTCCTTTTATATTTTTTCTTTCTGAATTTAACCATCTTCTCTTTGTTTGCCATATTTATCTGATGCTGAGCTCCTTTTTTTACTTTACCGCATTTTTTATCATATTTTTATATGGTTTTTGATACAGAGCACTATGATAATTGGTTTTATTTTCGTTTCCGACTCTATTTGGTTTTTTGCTACTGATGTTTGATTTCTTTGCTCGATGTCTTGCATTGGTGCCTCGTGTTGTCCCGATTGCGAAATGTTTTCATTCCATTATTAAAATGTGGTAAAAAATGCGATAAAGTAGAAAAGAGCTCAGCATCAGATAAATATGGCAAAAGAGGGTTTAATTCAGAAAGAAAAAATATAAAAGGAAGCTGGATACACCTGTAGCGCGACGGCTGTAGCGCGACAGCTGTAGCGCGACGATCGTAGCGCGACGACGTAGCGCTACAGTTGTAGCGCTACAAGTCTGAACGCTGCCTGAAACGCGGAACATTGGCCTCTGAAGACGACGACTGAGTCGAAACGTTAGGCCTTTAAATAATGTTCCATCTAACAACGAAACAAACTCGTGAGCACAAGAAAACTGAAACACAGTTGATAATATTATCAATATCGACAATTTCGCGACCATCAAAATAAATATCAAAGTATTAAAAAATAGAAAACTACAGATGAAATACAATCTGAAGGCTCATAAATATTGTGAAACCCAATATGTTATCAGGTTGAACAGGATCAATAGCTTTCCTGAGTTTCGATATGCTTCCAGGCCTTTGATAACGACGATACTGTCGAAACGTCAGGCAAAATAAACACTTCCACCATAAAAACCTGTACGGCATAGTAAAGAAACATTAGGTCTATAAAAATGCCCAGGTTGCAAGAAAGGCGAACATGGAGAAAAATATGTTATGTTTATTCTAACAAATGAAAAGACAAGAAAACTTCAAGCTTCTCAGAATTTAACCGTATTCGTGATTAACTATCATTCCCAACCTGATAAGGGTGTTCAGCACCGAAAGATTGCAGGAAGAAAAAGTTTTGAGATTTTGATGTATTTTGGATTTTTTTTCAAACATATCTTGATGTCTTATACTGCTGTCGAACGTTCAGATCATGAGCTTATTTCACCACAGCGCAATATTCAAATATATCACTCACAGTCGAGATGTTTTTTCTTGGGGGCCATCAACTCCTCAGTAGTCGCTTTGCATATTGTCTTTCCCAACTGACTACCCGCTAGGGAGTGCTTGGCAGCAGTTAACCTCAAAAGAAAAGTCATCATTGTTATTCAAAATGGCTTTAACGAGAAGAATACCGGTCAGAAATGGTTTGACCGCCGGTAGTGAATGGCATAGGTTGATGCAAAGCTTTCTCGATAGTTTGCATGGTCGACGTTAGGTACTGAAAGAAAGTAAAGTTACATGAAGAAATGTAAAATTGCACGTTATCAGTCGCGCAACGGAGAAACTGTCTCGACGAAACCGAGAAGAAACGCATGTGACTGGAGGGTATTAGTGAGGAGAAGGCTCGGATGAGAATAGAGCGATCCATCAAAGACAAGAGAAGGAGACTGAAGAAAACACATCGATGGGAGGTGGTGGGTGCGATGGATTTATCGACGAAGGCGGTTGCTGGCCCGAGTCCGGCACGCAAGCGCGAGAATCGATGCCCAGGAGATGGGCTCACCCTGGTCTTCACCAAACTTTTCACGAACACTGATTCAGCACGGGCATATCGGCAAGAGTATTGTGAATGCTATGTAGTGTCATGGGACTATTAGGCCTCCGCCAAATGTCATCTTCGCGAATCAATAAGGGAGCAAAAACAGGGCAATTGGGAACATCAACCACGGTTTTCGTTTACACACGAGAGCATCACATTCGAAAAGAATATGAAATGGCAATATATTGTGAAAAGACGGTTATCGGCTCTAAATACACGAAGCTATAATCGTGCGAACAATAAGTAAAGCTATGAACATGCAAATTCATACATGTCGCCCTTGCCCTCCAAACACTTCACTGCAGTTTTCTGGCAGGGTAAACTCACCTCGGACTCAATCCTTTTTTGAAAAGGTAAATGGCTAACGGGGCTCAAACCTTTTGAAGAGATTGTGAAATCCCTGAATTTTCAACTTCACAGTGAGAAAATACTTGGGGACATTCAGTGTCTCTTGAGAATTAAATAAACAGAATGGTAAACAAGAAAGACAGAGTCTGGCTCAAGCACTCAACGATGAACATTGAGCGCACGGTCGCGAACGAGTGCGACGTGTGCGTGCAGACGACAACGATTTTCCTACGCGATGATTATGGCGTGATATACAACTGAGGAATTCAGTGAAAGTGGCATTTATCGTGGGTAACCCGCCGAAATCCTTCGCACTGCATACGCCACCGATATGGGAACTGCAATGGCAAGCTATCTCGGTCGGTAGCTATGGGTTGGCAGTGAAATTCTTGCCGTCCATCTCCCATGATTCCTTCCTCGAAAACCCTCTTCTCTCAAAACCATGACAAACGTGCTAAATAGAGCTCCAACTTTTCTAATTTTGTAATGTACAACTCCGAGCTTCTAGAAAGCCGAAAAAACCAAAATTGACCGTACGTATGAGTGGTTGTTCTGAAACAATAAGCAGGGGTACTTCGCCGATAGGGAAAAAACTTACAGCTTCGGTAAATGGGTTCGACTTAACCGCCCACAGGTGTTCGGCAAACAGCGACGCGCGACATCGCGATGTCTGAACGCAGCTTTGTGGGTTCTTCCTTTTTTCATGGTCCTACCGGCAAAAAACGAGAACGCTGGAGGACGCTCATAGCGAATAATAATAAAATATGATATATCTTAGGATGAAATTCCTATGGATGATGGGTGATCGATGTGGCTCAAAGGACCAGTTTGAGGTTCACGCCCAGACTGCCTTATGCCACTTGTCAAGTGCAAGGACGAGTGAATCACTACTTGTCGTGGTGCCTGCTCGCTCCTTGATGTACAATGTACAATCATCACATCTTTTTCTCCCCTCGAAGGAACAGTACCGTATGCGGTGCCTACGAACTACTTGCTCAATCTCCTTGAAGTCACGCCCAGACTCAAAAATGTTGAGCTGCACGCTAAACATTTCGGCTCAAATGCTGATGACAAGTTTTTGAAGCTGTTTTGTTATGATAACTGCTGTTAATGCCGCAGTTCGCGTTCCGAATGTTATCGCAAGAATGCCGAGTTGTGGCCGGCTGTGACCGGCTCACCAAGTTAAACGTGTGAGTGCTGTGAGGCCACGGCATAAAAGCCGTTAAGCTGAGAGGGTAAAGGCAACCTTGGCAGCGTAAGGCTGCGTTCATACTTTGCGGCAGCATAGCGTAGCGCTTCCAGCGTTTCACTAGCGTTTCGCTAGCGTTTGCAGCGACGGAGCTAGAGAGTATAGAAGAGTAGGAGAGTATTTTGTACTCTCCTACTTTCAATACTCTCTAGCCCCGCTAGCGCTTGCAGCGACGGGGCTAGAGAGTATTGAAGAGTATTGCAGCCGCAGTGACACGCCCAACCGTCCCTAGCGAACTACATACACTATATAAACGCGGCCTTACGTGGCACCGTAGTAGCGCTAAGATATTGTTCATAGTGAGACACGGCGGAATTAGCGAACGAGGCGCATCCGGTAGAAAGTTTTGGTGCATGTTGCTAGGATTGTTCACACTCCGTGACACAACGAATCGGAGATCCGACCAAAAGAATGACATAGGAATCGCAGTAGCTCGGGCGGAAGGTCAGCATTCTGGCGCAAAGTGAAAAGAGCTATATACACTGCGTTCCAAAAGTATACTTCCGCCCATAAATCTCACAATATCCCTCCCTACACGACGTTTTCAAAAAAAGCCTCTAGTATAAAATGTGGTAATTACCAGTACCTATTTGCATTCTGACAATGTCACACAAGTACATATATTAGGTCGTTGCAAAAGAAATGCAGGATTTTGTTTTTTTGTATTTAATACTTATTTTATCCTTTCATTCTATAAACCAGTGACTTTGTGTGTCGGTTTGTATGTTTGTATGTATGTTTGTCTGTCCGTCCGCACAATACTTCACGGATTCAAGTTCGCTGGAGGCGAAAACGACCGCTAGGCAAACCGGTAACCGACTGGGAGGATGTAGCAATCCAATGTTGATCGTGAAATCGGCCTTCGCTATATAAGACAACCATTCGGTACACTCCGAGCCATTGCACGAGCTGCAGGCGTGGCAGCTGGACGTGTGCTCGTGCGGGGGCAGGGTGGGGTGGGGCCGAGAGAGGGGGGGGGGGGGCACAGGGCGCCCTCTCTTTCCTCGCCCTGCGGTGCTCGGCCCGATCTGAGGCATGCGGAGAGAAGGCCAGCAGAGGGACGTCCGACTGGAACAGTGGGCGTTTTTTCAAGGTATGTATAGGTTATGGCACAGGAATATGTGGGTGACAAAAAGTGCTAGCCGCTGATAAAGGGAGTTAGAGTGGAAAGGACAACATACTCATAAGCGGTACACAGCATCAGTTAGCCTTGATTTCAGCAAATGATATCAAGGGAAGGTGGAGAATGCGACGGCGGGTGACAAGAAATAATAACAGCAGATAGGGCCTGAGAGAAACGATGCAGTTGTGTTCAATCAAACGCTGGAGCCTCTACAGCAAAACGGAATATGGAGTTTTAGTGATAGCGACATTGATGGCAGTGACAAGCAATTTTATCAATTGATAATCAAAGATAAGGGGACATTTTCACGACATCCTCTGACCAATACACTGCCAAAAAAGCCTCTCAGTAAGCGGAATTTTCACAGCCACCATCACTGCTCTGAGAGCACTAAAAAATGTACTCATCCACTGGGGGGGGGGGGGGGGGGGGGTATGTACTTCGCCGTGAAACAGGAATTTTGGGGAAATCAAAAACTCCAATATTGGAACACACTTTAATGTGTTCAGTGAGTATTTAAATATTTTTTTTTGCTTTTCAACATTGAATCACTGATGAGAGCAATAACGAAGTAGTTTGTAAGATATTCGATGAACGCTGCCTAAATATTGTCATCTGCAGCCATTCATGCAACCTTAGCAGGTGATTTCATGTTAATGAAAGTTAGTCGTCATCGTTGGTGTTGAGATGCAGGTAATAAAAACGGAATGTGTTCATCTACTGTGCAGCATGTATTGATATTCTGTACTTCCTATCTATTTCTGAGATCTGTATAGAATGGCGTTATGGCCGAAACCACCGCACAGCCATCGCTCCATCTGAACTCTGAGGGTGCAGATTTCGCTAGTTTACTCCGTCTATTATGATTCGACCACTACCGCGCAATATGAGCAGCTCATAACTAATTAACTAACTAACTAATTCCATCCCATTGATGATGAGCGCTGAGAGAGCTCGGCAACTACAGCGAGGAGAGCTCGCGTCAGCCGTGCGATTCCGACTGGTTCCAATAAAATGTAGGTGTTACAGTGGAGTGCTCACCGGACGGTGGGGCGTTCCTACGACCACGCCGGCGAGCGCTCCGCTGATGGCGTGGCGATGGAAAGCCGCGAAATTCCAGAAAATTATCACCATTGCCCTCCGTCTCTGACACTGACTCTGCGCTCTAACACACCCAACCGCGCCCTCTACTCGCTCTTCCGTCGTGGCACTCTCGCCGATCGATAATGGCTGACGGCTGTCCATCAGCTGATCCCCGACGCATTTCTCCGAATTCCTGGCCATATTCTGCTAAAAAATGCTGCGATTTCCGACTTTCGGCTTCAACCGTCAAATTGAGTATTTTTACTAAAAATTGTATCACAATTTGCATGAATTTAGGCTTGAAAATCCCTTTAGAAAACAATTTTTTCTTCTGATTTTTGCAATTCGTCCAAAGTTTTCCTTATCGTCCCCAGTTCTTTTTATGTTATTGACCGGCTTTTCAAAGTAAGAGTCTCAGATGTGATCCTCGTTATTATCGAGAACCATCTTTGACTCTGTTTTGAACTCGGAGTCGCCGTCGCCTAATGTCCCTTGTTCCGCATATTTCCTGAAATTTTGTGAGTCTCTGCTGACTATTTTTTTTATTTCTCTTCTCTTTTGGATTCTGTCCTCGACTGCGTCTGTTCTCAATTGTCTAATAGTGAGCCGCTTTAGTAATGTTGGAGTGAAATTATGTAGCACAAGTGTGCGCTCTCCGAGCTTCAAAACAGAGTCAAAGATGTTCTCGATAATGATGTTACGTACATACACGAAGGTAGCCGTGTAATTGCAACACATCAGGCGATTCCGTAACTCAAATCTGTTGCATTCGCGCATGGAGTGCAACTGGTGGGGCGGATAGGTTAGTTCATTACGTGTAATTAAGGGGTTCTTTATCAAGATAGCTTTCAAGGAAAACAT